GAGGTGCTTCCCCCATAATTTTTTCCCACCGACCTCATCCATCACCCATTCCTCTGCGCATCGCAATCCACAGATAGCATCGCCAAACACGACGCGTCGAAATGGCCCGCAACTCGATGGCCCGCAACTCGTCGCCCCCAGATTCGCCATTGTCATCAATGGGCTCATCCGAACCCTACGAGGAGGACGGCCACGAGGAGGAGGAGGCCTCCCTCCGCCCGTCGAAGCGCCAAAAGGTCGAGGTCGGATCGACAGCCTCGTCCGCCGTCGTGCCCGAGGCCGAGCCCGAGGTCGTCCCTGAGCCGGACCCCCTCGAGGGCATGTCGGACGTGTCGTCGGACACGTCCGGCGACATCCCCAGCTCGCCCGTTAACGCGCGCCTCGAGGAGGAGGACTTCCAGGACCAGGTCACCATCTGCGACTGGGACGGCTGCCCGGCGGGGGACCAGGGCAACATGGACAAGCTGGTCGAGCACATCCACAACTCGCACATCGAGAGCAGGCAGAAGAAGTACACGTGCGAGTGGTCGAGCTGCTCGCGCAAGGGGCTGCCCCATGCGAGCGGGTATGCTCTGAAGGCTCACATGCGGAGCCACACGCGCGAGAAGCCCTTTTACTGCTACCTCCCAGGTATTCCCTCCCAGACACAGGCACTGAAAGAGGCGTCGCCGCAGAGTTTGCTAACAGGTTACTACAGAATGCGATAGGTCTTTCACGAGATCAGATGCCCTGGCAAAGCATATGCGCACAGTTCACGAGACGGAAGCGCTGCGGCCCTCGGATCCCATCCCAAAGTCGATGCACGGCCCGGGCGGCAAGACGAACAAGCTCAAGATCATCATCAAGACGCCCCAGTCGCACGGCCCCGGGGGCGACGACGGCGACGACGCCAGCGGCGAGAACGCCGACCTCTACACCGCGCTCTCCAAGGAGCTCTTCAGCGAGGAGGAGCTCGCCTTCTCGGCCGACAAGCTGTACCGCAAGTGCTACTGGGAGGGCAAGTGGGCGGAGGAGATTGGCGAGCAGCTGATGAAGGAGTGCAAGGAGTGGGAGGAGGTTTATCATAAGGAGTGGCTCGAGAAGGAGGCGCTCGTCTCGCAGGTGGTCAAGAGCGAGGTCGACTGGCACGACAGGCGGCAGGCGATAATCTCGGGCGCGGCGGACGTGCAGGTCCCGGGCGCTATTGACCAGCTCATGGACGATGTGAGCAAAAAGGGTTCCGACAAGGCGGACACCGACAGGATGGACACGGACGAAAAGGAGGTCAACTCGAACGGTGTCCCGGCCAGGGAGGTATCCCCAGTTTAAGACGGCTTTCACCAGCACACCGCATACGAGTGCTTTGTATTAGAACGGGTTGGAGTTCTGGGATGTCATGCAGGATTTTTTCTTTTTTTACTACTTTTGGTGTTACGGAACAAACTATGAATAGCGAATTTGAAATAATCGGGATCCAAGGGAGGGAGCTTAGAGGGCCTTCTTCTTGGCACGGTAGGACTCAGAGTTCTTGAATGGAAAGCCGCTTGTGCTCTGGTCAAACTTGTGATACTTGCTGATCATGGCCTTGTCCCCGGCGAACATGACGCAGTAGAGGGCGAAGACGGCGAAGAAGCCGCTGCCGAGCAGTCCCAACATGAAGCCCGTTTCGCCGGAGTAGGTGTATCTCCCGTAGCAGTAGAGGGCGCTGGATGTGTGGTGGAAGATGGATATGATGAGCACGGCTGACGCGTACGGGGAGATGCCGTCTTTGGCCGCTGGTGGGAGTAGTGCAAGTTAGCCATTGTATGCTTCCTCATTGATTAGGATTTGTTCTTACCATCCAGCGAAGAACCGAGAGGCACGGCCCCGGAGAGGAGCACGACAATGAGGCCGAGAGAGAGGAGGGCGAACCCGAGGGATCGGGCAAAGTACTCTTCCAAAGCTGGGACGTGTGTTAACAACCTATAGATGGCGGCTCTTATATCGGGCGCAAGGGACTCACAGCTAGAGCTGGCACCTTCTACCCTCAGTAGAGAGGATATGAATCCGGGCCATATAATGAGGGGAACGGCCTGGGTGCTGAGCCAGGCGAGGTTGCCAAAGCTGTAGGATGAGACGGCCTGCGAAAGTCTTAGCATGAGCTTGCGTTGGCAGCAAGGGAGAGGTGGCCTTACATCCATTGCGACAGATCTTCAAGATGGGAGGTGCTGTATGGTCTCTGGGGTGCGTATTTTGTTCTGACTGCTAACGCGCCTACGATGTTTGGGATACGACGTTGTGTTCTATGCTGTAATTGACAGTGGAGGTGATGATAGCTGATGACGAACCTTGCCTCGTTGCTTTGGAGCGGCACATGTAAGTGGAATGGGGACAGTGCGGAATTGGCCAAGTCGCCTTATTTGGTCGCCGGATGCATTCGTGACGCAAGTACAGACATGCAAAACTCTAGGATTGATTGATCTACAGATAACGTTCTCCGATCTTACTAGGGTTTCCCATACCAATTCCTCTTGAGAATGACACCCCGTGTTATGTCTGGCCGCTGCAAGTTGTCGAGGGTGGAAGGCCCCCGAGGCTACGTTCTACGACGTCACAGTGCTGCCGGAACGTTTCCGTTGGCCCTGGCCGACTCCCGACCGTCAGCCAGGCCTGGAGGCTAGAGGCTTTGGGGCTGCAGGTGGCAAGTGGGTGTCGCAAAACGAGCAACGCAGAGTTGGTTTTTAGATAATTTGGCTTACCTATATAGGCCAGCATATTGTATGAGCATCTTCAAGAAGTACTTAATTATTACATTGAGTCTTTTTATTCAGAATCGGATTCATTGCGATCTGTATGTGGTCCCTGTTTTACTAGGCTGGGTCTAGCCCCGCGAACTCCGAACTCGCACCAGGCCTTCAGCGGTAGTCTATTTTTTTACAGCAGCATTTCTAATCCTCGACATTTCATTGCGCAGCGATAACGAATCTCCCATTAACCGATCCGCCTGGTCCAGCTTGGCAACGAAGAATATATTGATAAGCAAACATCCTCTGTATTCTCTCTTTCCCTAAATTACGACCTGAATCTCTCCAAGACATCAAACACATCGACACTTCCGCCCTCGTGACCCCGCCGCCTAGCGCATCTCCCACTTTTGCGGAATCCCGAGTGTCGAGCGCATCAATCTGAAGGGCATTCGCCACCAACCAACCCGCCACGACTCGAAGTCGCAGCTGGGGCTCCCCAGCCCACAGGCATCATGAGCGCCATTCTGTCCGCCGACGACCTCAACGACTTCATCTCCCCCGGCGTCGCGTGTATCAAGCCCGTTGAGACCCTCCCCACCGCCGACCCCAACGCCGCCAACGAGACCGAGGTCATCCTCGACGGCCAGCAGCCTGCGGCATCCGCGAACAACCCAGCAGAGATTTCCTTGACGGACTGCCTGGCATGCTCGGGCTGCGTGACATCCGCCGAAGCCGTCCTCGTCAGTCTCCAGAGCCATGCCGAGGTTCTGTCAGTGTTGGATTCCGCGCCAGCACTCAGAGTAGTCGGGCCAGATGACAAAGGCAAATACAGCGTCGAGGGCCTGGGGAATGAAGATGCGAAACTATTTGTCGCAAGTGTCAGCTCGCAAACGAGAGCCAACCTCGCCGCAGCTTGCGGTGGGAATATCTCGGAAAGGGAGGCCGGCCAGATGCTCGAGAACCTGCTAAGCAGTCCGAGCGGTTTATCGAGTGGTGGAAAGTGGAATAATCGATTCACATGGGTTGTCGACACAAACATTGCGAGGGAGGCGACGCTGGTTCTGAGCGCAGACGAGGTTCTTGGAAATCCCAAGGCTGCTAAGCAACATCCATCCAAGCCAATCCTGGCGTCATCATGCCCTGGCTGGGTATGTTATGCCGAAAAGACACATCCACATGTGCTGCCACATTTATCCAAAGTCAAGTCACCACAAGCCTTGATGGGCACCCTTCTCAAGACGACGTTGAGTCGCACATTAAACATCCCGCCGAGCCGAATCTGGCACCTCAGCGTCATGCCATGCTTCGATAAGAAGTTGGAAGCCAGTCGAGAAGAGCTCACTGATTCGATCTGGAATGGCGACGGTAACCCTGGAAGAGGAGTCCGGGATGTCGATTGTGTGATCACAAGCAAGGAGGTCCTGATGCTCGCAGAATCAAGAGGTGTCAGCCTGTTTGATATGCCTAAAAGCAAACCAACCAGTGATGCACAGTCGTCACCATTCCCTGATCCCAAGCTAAGGGCATTCTTATTCCCCTCCGGTGGGCTTCGTAACCCATCACCATCAGCTGGATCTTCGGGAGGCCTTCTGTACCACGTCCTTCAAGCCAAGGCCGCGCAGATCCCGGGGTCTGAGATCCAAATCACCCGCGGTCGCAATATCGACGTTGTCGAGTACTCCGTCTGTCAGAATGGAGAGACCGTATTCAAAGCTGCGCGATACTACGGCTTCAGGAATATTCAGAATCTGGTACGGAGATTGAAGCCAGCCAGACCATCTCGTATGCCTGGAGGTAAACCTTTTGGCAGTGCGCGGAGGCCCACTGGGAAGACGTCGTCGCTTGAACACTCATATGTTGAGGTTATGGCATGCCCTGGCGGCTGCACAAACGGCGGGGGTCAAATCAAGGTAGACGACCCCGTCATTATAGAACGCAAGAAACTCCCTCCCCATCCTGGACCACAGGAGCAAAAGGAGTGGTTGGCGGAGGTTGATGAGGCCTACTTCTCAGGAGGAGAAGAGTCTGAACTTGAGGTCTCTCGGGGTGGTTCAGACGACGATACCATAGGGGGCATCTCGCATGCGTACATACACGATGCTCTCGCATATTGGTCCAAAATCACGGGTGTAGACTTAAATAGACTAGCATTCACGAGCTATCGTGAAGTTATCAGCGACGTTGGCAAGGACACCATCACTGACACCGAGAAAGTCGTTCAGCTGGCTGGAAAGATTGGCGGTGGATGGTAGTTGTTTTTTTGGTTCTTTTCTTTTGGAAGATTGTGCATAGAAATCAAGTTTCTTTGGCGCCGCGCCTAGCAAAGCCGAAACCTCCTCTTCCGCTGCCGTCTGGTCCCCTTGGTGATCGAATCGCAGCTTGTTGCTCATTCTTGGATGTAGATATCCTCGATGAGTACTCGCCGCTTCCGCTTCCCCCTTGTGATGAAGGTGAGTCTGGTTTAGTTGCGTAGTTGGGATCGAAAAGCTCCCTGGAGGACCCAGATTGTTGTACCTGCCGTCGGCCCTCAAACTGCCGGCTGTTATCATTGTTTCTCTGGTGAACATTAGAGCCGCCTCGAGATCCGCCCCGGCCCCGTGCGCGGGGAGTCTGCTGTCCATCCGACCTCGGCGGTGTCACCGTACCCGGTGAGGAGTTTCCCGACGAGGGCGCCGACTCGCCAAAGATCTTTGCACGTGCCTCCTCGTACCGTCGTTGCTTTTCCTCGCGGTCTCGCTTCTGCTTCGCGCGGATCTCCTCGGGCGTGGGCTGGGCTTCCTTTGTGTTGTCGTCGCCGTCATCCTCGAGGGTCATCTGGGAGAGGCCTGTGGCGGGGTCCCTCTTCGCGATCGTGGGTTTGCGACTGAGGACTTTAACCTGCGACTTGAAAGATGAGGTAAGGGGGACGTTGTTTGTTGCCTCGAGGAAATGGAAGGTCTCGCGCGTGTCTCTATTGGGGAGCGGGCAACTCGCGTTAGCAACAGGGCTTGCACTGAATGAAGGGAGGGGGCATCAATCTTACGCTGACTCCCAGAGCTTCCGGTTCGATTCAACATGCTGCGCCAATCGCTCTGCCTTGGTCCGCGGCGGCTCGATCTCAGGCTCGGGATCCTGGTTGAGTGGTGCACCGTTGTCTGCTTGGGTCTCCCAATCGTCGTCCCAGGCGTCAGGCACTGCTATTGTCTTCGTCTTCGCCATTGTGGGCGCGCGGTGACGTCTGTCAGGTTCAATGCAAGCCCTGCCAGAGGGAGTATACGGTAGGCAGTAGTCAGCCGATGAGTCTGGGGCGTAATATAATCGAAACAATGGTATACGGGTTTACTAGTTGATCCAGTGATATTGGTGAATGTCGGTGATGTCTTCAAGTCGAGCTGGATTCCAGGGCGCGAAAGTTAGAAAGTCCTCCTGTGGGGCGGCTCCGCTGCCCTTCATTAATTCCGGGCTACTTCGTTGTTGCTCCAATAATGGACGGGGCGGTGTTAGTGAGCTGGACTGAGGGCGGCAGTGCCTAAAGGTAAATAAGGTATTGCCTGGGCTAAGTTCCCCATCACATCACATAATCCCATTCACAATATACTCCTTACGGTGCTGCCTGCTTAACGTCTGGTGCCTCAAACTTACTATAACCTGCTGATCGATCAAACTTGTTGATCAGGGATTCATTTCTAGCTTCCACGGTATTGAAGAGTGGGTTTTCCCGGGATCCGAGTGCAATTACAAGCACCTGCTTCCAGGTCGTGGGAACAACATCAGCCGGTGTGCCTACCCGCCTGCATCAGGACCACACCTTTTCCAGCGCATTACCCGAGGACCAGTAGAAGTAACTACATATTCACGACGGCAAAATGGTGGACGACGCATCCAGCGCCAACACGAGGCGTGTGAGGGAAGAGGCCGAAGTTATTCAAGGGAGACTAACGGACCTTAAGTTTGACTCGAGTATGGCCCCTTTCTCATGCTGCTGGGCTTCCTAATCTCGGGCATGATGCTGATGGTTTCCAATAGAGAAGTTTCGCGATCCACTGAAGCCCGGGCAGACGTCGCATGCCCAGTTCTATCCGCAGGGTGTCACAGCCGCGATGGAAGAAAGGTGGCTTGCAATGATCAAGGCGTCCACCAGCAAGTAGCCGCAGTCATCCGCCAACGCGGGCGCAGCGCAAGGAGTTTTTGCGGTGTTTTTCAGCAGCGACATATCATGCATTCATGAGTTTTTGGGAAGGGGGTTGTATTGGGAGTCAAGGTCTGGAGAGGAGGGGACGGATCTGAAAGGCTGCCACTATCAAGTCCAGCCACAGAGAAGACACACCAGTATCAAAGGAGGTCCATATCAATACAAGACCCGATGTGGCTTTGAGAATCTTTATTTCGGCCGCACCTTTGGCCAATTTCAATTTCGCTTACACATGCAATACGTGAAGAAGATTGCCGCGCGCCCACATTGATTCGTCGGTGATAATTGCTGCTTCAATGCATTTACTGGAAAAAGGAAAACGGGCGACGTAGTACGACATCTGACACCTGAGTCATCATCAAAGGCCTTTTTTCTTCTCTTGGAATGGAATATTTTCATTTTAGCAAAAGCAACGTGCGAATACGAAGGTAGTGCATCAATAAGATGAGAGTGGGTAGCCAAACAATCTTACACCATACCAGAAGCCGTTTACATAGTGGAAATGGGACAGTATCGGTCACACATGGCTCTTCGAGTATTAGATCTTTAGCAGGCTAGGCTCGGCCAATGGTTACGCAAGGTAAGAGAGTACGGCATCTTGATCTTAGTGAGATAAGCTGCCAATGTATGGCACACGCAATGAGGCTGGGCACCATGGACGTATATATTACTCAATTACACTTACATGCATGGCCTAGTGCATTCCTGCTCCCTGGTGCATATTATGTATCATTATCGATCTCCTCACTTGCCGGTACTGTACATGACGCTTTTGGGGGGAGGATGTCCCAACATTGAGACATGCATGCGGAGACATGCATTGGGGGGGTGCGGTTCATATTCAGGTCTGACCTATACAATCTCAATAATCCTTGGAGCTACTTTATTAGGTACTTTGGCTTCTATTGGATAGGTCAGAGCCCGGCCGCTACATTCATGTACGTTCCTGAGCAAGCCACCATGCATCAATATTCCCCTTTCAGTGGCGAAAGGAACATATAGTTCACAAGCAAGGCTGAGATCCCACAGCTCAGGTGGCCAGATAGCAGTACGGTCAGGCAAGGGAGAAGAAAGAACGCAGTCTCGACAGCCCGCCTCTTCGGCCAACATGTCAGAAAGAAATTACTACTCCTTGCTTCTTTCGCCTTCATCTTAAGGGAGGAGACCGAAGAATATGACAAGTGAGAGTGGGTTAGTGTGATGAGGATTTTCTCTTCTCTCAATCAGAAACTGGGCCTTTTGAGCTTCTTGTTTCTACCCCCTGTTTCGTGACCTTCGAATGATCGAGTGTCAGATGGGAACGTGGATGGAACATCTCCCCAACTTTATCCGTTCATCTGAGATCAGTGTCGGAACCCCCGATCTAGTCCAGAGCCCTTGTATGTCTCATTACACAATGCACAGTTGGTGATTGAGCAGGCAGGAGCTTTTCTCAAGGTAAGGATGGGAAACATACTACACGCGCCAAAAGGGACAGAGATAGTCATCATTAAGGGAGTGGCGATCTCATGGCAGTTGAGCGAGCTACAGGAGGGAGACTTCCTGTCTGTCACCAGAGGTCCAAGCAGGTACCTCGCGAGCACCCTAGAGAAGGGCCCGGGACCCAGAACAAATGGACTAAGCGGGTTAGAGGAGCCCGGGCGGCACCGAGGGCTTTTGCTTCACCTGCGGGGATCGGCTAGTAGCCCCTCACCTTAACGAGGAGCAGCTGTCGTTTTGACGGCCCTGTGATGAGGGGCTGGAACCGCGCGGGTTGGGAGACTGGCAGCGTAGCAGATGCCTTCAAGTTTCTCTTGGCTCCAACATTACCTTCCAGAAACAAACCCCAGCTGCCTACCTGGCTGCTGATAAGCTTGTGGGATCAAAAGGTCGATCTCCATGGGCAAGGTAAGGCAGGCAGCTCACTCGGCTCACCTCACCTTGTGAGAGAACCTGAAGCTGAACCCCGCTCCAGAGGGCGGGCTGTCTCCACTCTCCGACTGCCTTGGATCCGCCAGGGTTTTGGAACTTGGCAGGCGACTGTCCAGATCAGGTAAAGCATCGTGAAAGTGGCGGGAAGGGAGAATGTCTGGGTTCTGATGTCGGCGTGGCGCGGCATCCAACATGTCCACGCTGGACCTCTAGCACATCGAGCCCTGGTGTTTGTTCCAATCTGGAGATGATCCAATTCATCGGCTCCCAGACGCACAGGTGGGATCACAAGGTTTCAGTCAGGGAAACAGCTGAACCATTATTGTCCACTGTTCGTAGCATGTGAGCCATTCTAGAACCAATTTTCCCTCGACTCATGCACAGTAGCACTCCCTCAAGCCGCTGGAGTCCTGTACCTCGCTGGTACCTCCCCTCAGGGTCGTGATTATGTTATGTCAGGTCGATGGTCGCGTTTACGTACCTCCATCCATCGCGGATGTACCGAGACCAATACCCAAGACACACTACTCGATTGAGGTAGCACCGTCCTGCATCTTACCGTGCAGATAGTACCCGGTATTGGAGTGCAGTTGGAGATTGGAATTCCGCCTTTTCGTGCCAGCCATTCCATTTGGCCGCACCAGGCGCGCGTCCTCTCCCCCGAAACATGACCTTCAGTTCTCCTCGCTCCCAACTCCAGGCTCGCCTCAAGCTGCGATTCGTGCCACACCAGTGCCACCTCGGCAGAAGGGCATGGCCACGGCCAATATCAATAGCATCAGCCAGGCTCGTGAGATGGAAAGGCACCCACCGATGATCCAACCCAGACCGCATAAAAAGCGGAGCGCTAGATGCACAATATGTAGTCTCTGACCAGCTGGAAAAGATCTCGCCATCTTCACGACAGGGTACGTTGTTGGCTGTCAGCTTTTGGCGGGCCATAGTCGGCCGCGCCGGCCTCGTTAACGTTCAACGGCGCATCACAAGCCAAGCCGTCCGAGGTCATCGGGGGAGGCAAGTTTAATCGGAGCTTCCAATGAAAGCAGTCCATCTCAGCTGGGCCAGGTGGAGGGAGAGCAGTCGTTATTGGATCGGAGCTCCAGCAAGGCGAGGTAGATCTAGCAGGTAGCCAAATGTACCTGCCGTCACTCAATAAGCGGAGGACGAGAGCCAGGTAGTAGCTACATCCAGTGCCGGCATGCCTGCCCGCTACATATCTACAGTACGAATAGAGCATGCCCGCACGCAAGCTTCGCCAATGCCACCTGAGCCTTGCCCCAAACCCTCCCCCGAGGTGCTTCCAGCATTTCTCCTACCTCTCTACAAATTCAACCACCACCACTTCTTCCCTTATCTCTGACCCCGAGATTCTTCCCTCCCGCATCAGGCATTTCGACGAGCACTCCAACTGCGTCGTCAAGCGCTTGACCTTCCGAATCGCCTGCCCCTCCTCAGCTGGCAGGCTCCCTGCCTCCGCTGCCGCCTTTCTTCCTCAATCCCAGCTCGGGTTTCTTAGGAACCTCCCTAACTGAGCAATTAGCACATCCTGCCTGGTCTACTACCTACCTTCCAGGTGGCATAGCAATCATCCCAACGCCAATATGTCGGGCACAGAAAGCGCACAGGCAAATGCAGGAGGCTTCGACCTCCTCCGGCGAGCTACACAGGCCATGATGTCAAGGTATGTAAAGTCTCGGGTCGTCTCCTCCATGTTCCAGATTGCTAGATATCATCTTTGTTTTTTTCCCTTGCGTTTTCATACAAGCAAATCCCAATATTCATCATCACCCTTCTTTCATCCTGCCTGAGCATGGGCTTGCTGCTCTTCTCGCTACACACCGGGTATTACTGGGTCGTCTCCTGCGCTGGAAGTACCTCCCCTCTCGTGGTTGCCCGTCACCTCAACCCACCGTACATGAAGTACTTGGACCAGGATGCACTGGAAGCCGGATCCCTGAGACACACATGAGAGCTCCCAGGAATATCCAGAATCCACCCCTACCGCACCGCCTGCATTGATGCTGCTCCTCAGCAGCAAGGACCTTGGTGGCGTTCCCAGGCCACCGCTTGAAAAAGATGGATCAACCACGAGTCAGCATCTTTCTTCCCGTTTTATTTGGGTACCGCTTCTAGTGCCTTCGCCAAATCCCGGCTTGACGAAATGGTCCATGTGGAAGCACCAGCATGACACAGGATTCAGCTGAGCCCAGCTACCTCATTTAATGGAATGGAGTATGGCTTTCGTGATGATCAGGCCTTAGGGTCGCCGGGAGCTTCCTAGGATGCCGTCCGTCTCACCAGTAATTCATAAAACGAAGGCATGTCACGGATCCGGATCGGACGACGCATGCTTAGAAGAATGAGCATCCCGTTCACCATACATAAATGCCAACGAATGGAAGACGTTAGGAGAGAATTAAACAACTCAGCAAGGAAGGCACCGAGCTAAAGCCAGCAAATCACATTCTTGCACCCTCCTCGTCAATAAGCAACCTTGTCCTGGAAGCCAAGCAGGATGCGGCAGCAACTGGTCGTTAGCTAGGCTGATTGGCCCCTCGAGCAAACACCTTTGCCAGCAACAGGCTGCACAGGCCAGCCGTATGTGTTTGCTTGAATCATTGAGGGCCCCTTGACTCCCTCCCCTTGCTCGTGGTCCGCCCAAAGCTCCGCTCAAGTGGTGTACTTTTGGCGCCGACTGAGCCTAAGCCTAAGCCTAAGCCTGGGCCTCTCTAGGCCAAACCGCCCCCGCTACTCGGCTCTCATCTACGGCTCATGCTCTCGTGCGCTTCGGCGGGCTCGACTGGCGTCTTTCGAGTCTTTCCAGCCTCCGATGGAAAGTCTCTGACTCTTGCTTGGCCCCACCCATTCCACATGGCCCTCTTTGGATCGAAAATTCATCATCATCCTTTCAACAGCTTCGACTCAAGCAATGGCAACCAACCCAGGCCGCTTCCGCTGTCGGAACTACCCAATCCCTATCGATTCCCTATCCTTGCCTGTCCTGCCCCATCACGCCTTGTTGCGCCCCTTATACCGGAGCTTCCGTGATTTTCTCGCTGCCTCTGGCATCTCCACAGCATCTATCGCGACTTGCATCCCTCAAAACCCCTCTATACCTTCTTGGCAGCCGTCATGAATTAGCGTTTCCACATCACGACCCCTTCCCCGCGCACGCACTCGTTCCTGTTTTCTGTGTTCCTACTTTTCCCCCTCCTCCCCTCCACTCTTTATATTTTTGAATTGATCATGCCAGTTGACCACCTCACTAGAACTGCCGCAGCTGACGAGGATGGCGCGGATCAAATTGGCTACGAAACCCCTCGATCTGGTGTAGCTACCCCCCAACCTGACCTTCAAGACAAACGGTTACCTGGAATCATGAGTTATTTCGGCCAGGTTCGTTCAGATACTGCTCCTGTTCCCGATATGTCTTCCTCCGTTCCATGTCCACATACGGATTCCCGCCCCTCGAACAAGACGCTGGATGAGGAACCCCCTTCCGCTTCCTCCAGTGTTCTACAGCCACAGCTCCCTATCGATAGCTCTATGCCTGATAGCGGGTCTCAAAATGACGATCCGTCCTCTTCACAGCTTCACGCTGAAGATAGTGGTCTTCAGCGAGATGCTGCGCAAGATAGGCAATGGACTTCTCCCTTTTACCCAAGCTTTCCCAGTTCATCCTCCTCTGACATTTATTCGAGAACCGACCCTGGGATGAGCCGTTCTGAAGCCTCAGTAGAGCCATCGACAACTCATTCCCAGTCGTCCTCAATCTGCGAACCGTCTAGCAGTCCACGTATTTCTACTGCTTCTTCTCTACCTTCATCTTCTTCTTCCCGTCCTCCCTCTCCTTCGTCTTCCACCATAGCTGAGGTATCTGAGACTGAGTCTCGGGTCGTGCCGAGGGTTGCTCCAAACTCAAAATCGAGCATAGCCCCACCTCAAGCTACTCTTCACAATCAAACTTCCTCATCCACTAACAATACGCACCATACCGCAAACCCCAATGCTTCACAAGCTCCATCAAAGTGGTTCTCCCTCGATGGACTTATGGAACTAACTCGTGGTGTCTTCAAGAGCGGTCCACCCACCCCTACAAGAGCGCTCTCCGCCGCTCAATCGCATTCGGACGGGAAAATAAGCTCCAGTCGATCCAGCAACGATGGCGCAGAAACCAGCGGTACTCAGACCCCTCGCGGCCCCGGCGTTCCCAACGGTGCTCAAGCTCCAATACCCAAGGGTAAATTGACAATCAAGATCCCCGAGGGACGAGGCCTACGAAGATGTCGCGACCCATACGTTGTAGTTGTATTTCAGAGAAGCGAGCTCATCTCGGGCGGCCCACGTCCGAACGAAGATGAGGAGAACTTGGTTATCCCGCCACCGAGTATGGGCGGCATTGCGATCCAGAGGCAAGGCAGTGACTCTGGGAGACCACCAATGTCTATCCCTATGCGAAGCCGTCAGAGCAGCAACACGAGTATCGCCGACCACAGTTCAATTCGCAACCGTCTCACCGTTCGCACAGCATTGACGGACCCGAAATGGGACGCCGAGGCCGTTTTGTATGTGAAACCCCGCACGCCATCCGCCTAATCTCTCTAGGTATTGTCTAATTGCTTACATTCTATCGTACAGTGACGTGGTAGAGTCAGACATGCTAGTCGACATTTCCGTCTACGACCACACAGTTTCCGGCGGCGAAGAGTTCCTTGGTCATGTTGACTTGGAGGTTCCCCGAGAAAACGATAGATCACTCGAAGGATGGTTCCAGCTTGAGGGCCACGCCGATACCATGGCAGAAAATGCCCCAACTGGAGAAATTTATGTGGAGGCTTCATATCAAAGATCGGAAAAGAGGCAGTTTGGACCTAGCGACTTTGAGATTCTCAAGCTCATCGGTAAGGGTACGTTCGGACAAGTTTATCAGGTTCGCAAGCGGGACACGAAGCGAATCTATGCCATGAAGGTTCTCCAGAAGAAGGTCATCGTGCAAAAGAAGGAAGTGGCGCACACAGTGGGGGAGCGCAACATCCTTGTCAGAACGGCCATGTCCGACTCACCATTCATCGTCAACCTCAAATTCTCCTTCCAGACCCCCTCGGAACTTTACCTCGTCACCGACTACATGTCTGGCGGTGAGCTATTCTGGCACCTCCAGAAGGAAGGACGGTTCGACGAGAAGCGGGCCAAGTTCTACATTGCAGAGTTGATTTTGGCCATCCAGCATCTGCACAACAATGACATTGTCTACCGGGACCTGAAACCAGAGAACATCCTCCTGGATGCCAATGGGCACATTGCTCTGTGCGACTTTGGTCTCTCGAAGGCGAACCTCACGAATAACGACACCACGAACACATTTTGTGGAACAACTGAATACCTGGCACCAGAAGTTCTATTGGACGAATCGGGTTACACCAAAATGGTTGACTTTTGGTCCCTTGGAGTGTTGGTGTTTGAGATGTGCTGCGGATGGAGCCCATTCTATGCGGAGGACACGCAACAAATGTACAAGAACATCGCCTTTGGCAAGGTCCGATTTCCCCGGGATACCCTTTCGCAAGAGGGTCGAAACTTTGTGAAGGGGTTGCTTAACAGAAATCCCAAGCACAGGCTAGGCGCTACGGGTGATGCTGAAGAGCTCAAGCGTCACGCCTTCTTCGGTGATATTGACTGGGATCTCCTCACCAAGAAGCTTATCACTCCTCCCTTCAAGCCCAAGTTGAAGTCCGAAACTGACGTGTCGTACTTCGACCCGGAATTCACCACCGCACTAGACCAGAACGGGTCTCTGAATGAGCGTGCTGCCGCCCTTGCCAGAGGGTACGCTGCCAGCACCCCGCTCTCACCCTCGGTACAGGCCAATTTCCAGGGGTTCACTTTTGTCGACGAGAGTGCGCTCGATGATCATATGAGGGATCGCATCCGCAACGACGACGAAGATATGGATGACACTCGGGGAACCGACGATGACTGGGACAATATCGATGACCTTGATCCACGGAGGGGAAACCGGATGAGTGGCATTATAAGGACAAACACTCACGATGACCAAATGGTTGGAGGAAATCATTTCGACATGTAACAATGCGCACGTCTCTCTTCCTGGCCTCATAGGTTATCTAGGCGTTATGATGATAATTGGTCATGTTTTCCGCGAAACCCAAAAAAGGACATTGGTCTTTGATAATTACTGTTTTCTTTCGGTGCTTTTATGAATTCTGGCATGACATGGGAGAGAAAGAAGGTTTCGTTTTGACGTTCATGCATGGAGGTTGGTATGGTCTTAGCATTACATTAGTAGTCAACGCACGAGTGCGGAATAAGGGGGAACCGGCGTTTCTGGCTTGCGAGTAAGGGGTGCATCAGAGGGAAACCTCGCTCGCTACCGGCTGCCTCGTCTGTTGATATCACTACAAGATTCGGTACACCGACAAACAACCACACATATCCCAACGAGCAATAATACTGTTTTACTCTAACTTGAAATTCTCCTGTTCACCTTCGCTCATGCCATTGCGTCGCGTCCCTTGATGCCAAATTTCATTGTAATAGCGTGCTTTGATGCGCAAACCCAGGGGCTTAGATTACTCCTCCCAGCCTCTTGCAGTGCGTTCCTGCTGAGCTGTTGGTACATAGCAATAATCAAGTTCAGTTCCCCCATGTTTCATGTGAATTTCCCATCTTTAAGCATGAATTATCACCATTTGAGGTTGGTTCGAGATGTCGAAGTGAAGTTTATCACCCAGCCCGAGCAAGATGTTCTAAATTACAAATCATACACGGTCTTACACGAAAAATAGATATAGTATGGATAGCTCTAGGGAAACAACGATGCTAACATAAACATTTCAGAAGTAAAGAAACAGAAGTGGAGTGCTAAACTTCATTGCTGTCTAACATTGCTAGTCCAACGTACATAATAGTATCACACTACGACTTGCCCGAGGGCATACGGACCTTAACTGCAGATTTGGGTTATAGGGAGCAGAGGAGCTACATAGTGAAGGAGGCTGTTAGTTTCGCAATAGGGCAGTGCGCCAAAGGGCGCTGTAGCGCGGGTGTCGGCACAAGTACGCAGAGCTGTTCTTGGAAGACGGCATATCCAAGGAGGGCCAGGATGATGTGTAGTTGCTTGGCAATCGCGTTCACATTGGAATTGAACTACTACGCCAGTTGCAGGCTTAACTTTTTTTTTCCTTGGATGAAAAGTATACACGGGATTATCAACAGCCGACTAATCCCTCGCGTCACCCTTGCACGCTCGAAAGCTGGCACCGCCTGCCAAAGTGTTGCCGTCGAGCATTCCCTTTCCTCCTCCTTTACGCACGACCACACTCTTTTGAAATTCCATAAGGAGCCGATCGAAGGCGTACCAATGCACACAAAACACACCGCATTCCAATACACTAACCCTGCTTCAAAACCCCAAGTTTATCGCGGTACGACATTGCGGTTTGGGTTCCTTTAGTGGCTGGCCTCCGCCTCCTCCTCCTCGGTCTCGAGCCAGTCGGGGAGAGCGGCGGCCTGGCCGGTGGCGGAGACGTCCTGGCCCTCGATCTCGACGGCCAATTGCTCGTACTCCTGGAGGCTGCCGGCGAGGTCGGCCTCCTCGGGGGACTGAGGGGTGGCGGGGGCGCTGAAGGTCTGGACCTGGCCGACGGCGTCGGAGTCCTTGACGGGGGCGGGCTTGTAGGCCTTGAGCTCCTTGAGGTAGAGCTCCTGGACGAAGTCGGCTGGGGGAGAAGAAGTGTGTTAGTATACGACGTCATTGAGGGAGTGTGTATTCGGCCAGCCGGTCAATTCCCCCGGGTATCTCCAAGGATTGGCATCGTGTAATTGGCGAGATGGTTGAAATTGGGTGTCCATTGGCATGGTGTTGCGACGCGAATGAATAATGAAGACACCACGGCGTGGTCATGGGTGGAGGATGAAGGTATTCGGGCGTCGGTCGAATGGGGTAAGATGCGGGTGAAGTGCCGAGATATATACAAGATCCGATCGGTCCAAGCATCCAATCCATGGAGATACACGTCAAAGGGCGTTCAAGGAGCTGTTCTTACCTCTCCGGGAGACGGTAGGGGCAATGAAGCCCCTCATCTGCTGGACGGGGACATTTCGGCGGGCGACAGCAGCGACGACGGAGCGAGCGCGCTAAATAATGAGAGCAAACAGGTGTCAGTTGGGAGAGCTGGATCGCCGAGGCAGGCTACGAGGCGAGAAAGCCGAAGTAGAGGGAGTCGATGCTTACCGAAGCTCGAGAGAGTTGGCTGAGCATTTTGGATGGCTGGTTGATGCTCAATGGGAATCCCGGGGCGATGGGGTGAGTGCTGAGGGTTTTGTGAAAATCGTGAGGTGGTAGCCGTTCTCACCCGTCCGAGGTCTCCATTCGCGGAGATGTTTGTGCCTCAGGCTGCAGTAGACCGCTCTTCCGCAGCGCCAGGGGCGGCACGTGACCCAAGCTCACCCTGGAGTTGAGGTTCATAGCAGCTGTGCTAAGAGCAGAGCCAGCTCAGAAAAGCTCCGATACGTCAGTTCAATGCACTCCATCTTGAATTTGATTCATGGCATCATAGAGAGTTGATGTTAATCTGGGAATGAGATCTGTCAAGGGTAGGTCTTCCATACCCACCGCAATCTGGCGTCCACAGCCAGCTCTGTTAAGAATTATGCCAACTGCCATCCCCAACGTTTCATCACGGCAAGTACACCATAGCGGTGACAATCATGCGTGGTCCAACATGGCTAATGTGGCCACCTTTATTTCTACCAAAATTGGCCGCGATTTCACCACGATTAAGCATAGCTCATGAAAGAAAGTAAAAAAATTTGGTACCATCATTTACGTTCATCTTGGTTCATCGGACACCGTTACTACAAACTCTCAATGCGCTCTAACCAACAATTTCTACTATGTCCTTGCTCTCAAACAATATAAAAGGAAAACAGCGGTCAATACACCGAGCCTCCCAGTCAGATCCTTCTCTACTTTCGGACCCCAATCCTTTGATGTGAACCCACTGTGGCCAATCTCATCTATGCGTATTCGCGCGTCTGAGAGACTGGCGGTGAGTCTGACTTCTTGCGGCGGCCTTCCGCTCCTCCATCCTGTCTTTTGCGCTTGAGAAAACCAAAGCCGATAGAGCCAATGTATGCGGCGAAGACGACAGCCGCGACAACGCTGTAAGCAATCATGTACCTCCCTGAGGTATTGCCCGTGAGTTGAAGACCCAAACCACCATTGACGATACCAATGATTATCAGTGCACGACCATACCAGATGTGGACGTGACTGATAATACCTCGGCTCTGGTGTTTGGTATACTGCGAATGGTGAAACCATCCGAAAAGAGGCTGGAGACCCAAGAGCGCGACTACGATGGTGCCCATGCGAGTATGGGTTTGGTTGAAGAACTAAGTTCGCGTGGATGTTAGCACAGACCCTTTCGCTTGATGCGTCCTCAGGAGACTCACATATCCGTTCCGCTCAGCGTATACATAACCCAGGCCAAAGCCAGCCCACATCATGAGGTAGGCGACAAACTGCCACGCTCCGTGGATGTACCACTTGCCCACAAGGGGCATGAGCATGGACCCGATGGGGTACATGGCAACGAAGACAATGGACATGATGATGCCGTGTGCAAGAATAATGGTATTCATGTTGGAGCCACTGCTGCTGTCATCGTCGCCATCACTACTACTATCACCATTGTTGTTCCCACCGGAGCTTGGGTTGTTTACTGTGCCGTTGCTATTCTCGAAGGGGTTGGCATCCGAGGTGATTGATGCCTGGGCAAAGTTGATGGAGAACTGGGAGTGGCCGTCATGCCTTGAAATCTGCGCGGCAGTGTTGGCCGAGTCTAGGGAGCTGCCGGTCTTCCAGGCTGCTATCCAGCTATTCTGCCCGCCCAGCTGGAGGTTGAGGTCTGAGGCTCTCACGTTAGCCACCATCTTGCCGTCCTGCACACCAGTTCCAGACAGGAGCTCAAGCTGGCCGTCAGTAGTGGTGGTTGGCATGGTATGGCCATCAGCCTGCCTGTTGCTCAGTGTGATGTTTCCATTGCCGTCTTGGTACATGAGAAGGATGTGAGCACCCGCCATGCGCGAGCCGATACCCAGTCCAACCCATTGGTATTTGACGGGAGCGCTGAGCTGGACATAGAAGGCTCCCGAGCTCGAGCTGGCAGATGATTCGGGGACACCCCACTGGAATTGGATGTCGTTTGAATCGCCCACTTGGCGGGAGGTTACGTCCGCGGATGTGAGAGTTGCATCTATCACTTGTTCAGCAAGCAGTAATTGGTCATTGGAGGGCCAATTGGGCATAGGTATCCAACAAGGTAGGTGTTACTCACAAAGGGCGGCAGCTAACCCGAAGGTAGCTTTAGAAAACGTCGATTTCATCACGTAACACAGTATTGACCGTATTGGTCTAATGTGACTGATCTTATCGTGGCGTTCTCACTCTAGGAGATAGTGGAAAGGAAGACGATTGGCAGAAGGAGAAGTTGGAGATAGCAAGAGGATGTGGTGGCTTATTATTGTGAGGACCAAGTGAGTAAGGTTGAGGACAAGGGGATTTTGATCTACATGTTTCATTGGAAACCTAAAGGAACGAGGCACGAGAAGGCTCGTCTTAAATCCTCTGGACGCAGGATTGAGTGCATCGACGCCGTTGCACTACTCCGCGTATGGCAGCGGTCCCGGTAGATTAGCTCGACGAATGACAACTTTCGCATTTTGCACAGCCCAGCACTAGACACAATCAGCGGCATGACGGTTTCATCTGCCGGGGTGGGGGGAGTGACAGCTCGCCAATGGACGGAAGGTTGCATGTCCAGCGTGTGACGATGACGATAATGATCTGAGTCTTGGTGCTTGGAAGTGGTGTACCGTAGCAAACAGCCATCGTGGATATAGTTTCGTCTTGATGTCAACTTCCCAGGCAGAGAAGCTATCTTGATGCTAGGACACACTACGAGTCTACAGTTTATCACAATGTTTCTGGATTACCATCAGTGCCACTCTGGTTGGCTGACGAGAGTGGGATACACGTAAAGATAGCAAGGATGAGGCCGCCATGGGAGCAGCGAACCAGGGTTCGATTTGTAAGTCGAAGGTCTGTGGGGATGATCTCTCATTGATGATCCTCGTCCCCTGAAAGCCGTGCCCCATATTATTATCTTTACTCTCCCTCGGTATGCACATTGAAGCTTGTTGAGTGGGCAAGCGGAAACGTGCTGATCCATCGCGGTGATGCTGCAATGACCTGACCCCAGTCCGTCAAGTCCCAATCCAGGCCAGCACCTCGCAGGCCGCAGATGCAGTTCCTGGATAAGCCACAGGGCAACGCGCGTCAGCAGCCCGGGAAGACTCGATAAACCGATGCAGCAGTGCTCAGCATTACCGCGAAGCTAGTCCGCCGGCATGTCTAGGTCCAACGAGAGCACCAGGGGAGGACGCTGCCTGACGTACGGGGATAGTAAGGCAGTGAGAAAGAGACCAGCCTGCAAAGGGAAGTCACCATCTAGCCGACATTATCATTGATGACATTCGCCCTCGTCAGGAATCTTTCATGGGCGGGTAGAGCTTTGGAGCTAGCGGCCGCCCGAAGCTTGGGGACATGAAGCGGCCGCCCCTCGAGACCGACTGGGGGGTAGTTAAGCTACGGATCGGCGCAGCTCAAAGTGAGGGCAGCTCTAAATTTATTTACTTTGCCCTCCATTGGAGCCGTGATCCTACACCACATCTCACCACCTGCCGTTTTGCCGTCCAGAAGAGCGATCCCCGTCCGGGTGGCTGAGTGCCCTACCGACGCTGACCGATACCCATTGAAGCCCAGATGGATGATGGATGATGCATCGTAGACCATGGCGATAAAGACGATGATGACGGGCCATTCCCGAACCAGCTGTCTCCCCCCGTCCCGTCGATCCCTCCAGAAATCGCATTGATGTGTACGCGTACCTACATATTGTTCGCAAGTTTAGGCTTTTAGTCATGATCTGGTAATACGCACAGCAGAGGTCCAGAACGTCATCACAGAAGTGTGCGCTGATTGGCCTTGATTGAGTGCTGGCTCAGCGCTTTGACCTGCTCAGCGCCAACACAACAAAACTCTTACTGTCAAGAGTACTGGACATTCCGGGTTACTTGGTAAGGCTGTCAGAGGGCTAACAGCCGCCCAGACGATTTAGCTGTTAGGGTTGCATTGCTGTCGGAAGCTCAGCAGGCTGTCAGGAGTCTCTCAGAAGTCTCTCAGAAGTCTCGCATACTGCCTGCTGCTGTGGCTACACCTACACCTCCTTCTTAGATTTCTAAGAGCTATGGCTACGGCGACGGCGACGGCCATATAAATCAGTTGTAATAGCAGCAGACAGGCAGGCCAGGCTCGTAGCAATCACTTGTCGTAGTAGCAGACGGTCGGGTCAGCGATACAGCGATCTCTTGTCGTCACGAGAGACACGTTGATCGGCTTTGCAGCTATTGCTTATCACGGCCGCAGACAGCTTGGTCGGCTTCGTAGCGATCGCTTGTCATTACAAAAAGACACGCTCGTCAGCTTTGCAGCTGTTGCCTGTCATGAAGAAAGACAGAAGAGTTAGCTATCTACCAGCAAATATAGGTAGTATCAGTATAAGAATAGTACTAGTAGTCTGTCTATTCTTACCTCAGATAGAAGTTATTTTCTACCGCTGTTGGAGGTAATTATCATGCCTTCCTTCCTTGACATGCCTTTCTTCCACAGATGGGCCTTGTGAGAGTTATACACTATCTGATTCTACTGTCTTTATGTACAATATATTCCTTTAAACCCTAGGGACATTGATTCTGGCGCCTTCTCCTCGATCCTGTACTCTCTAGTCTGTTCCGAATACCTTTCCTTTTCAAGATACTCGGAACCTAGCTTAGAGTTAGCGAAGGGCTATAATAAGGTCGATGATATATAGCTGTTGCTAAATTGAATACCTAAAGGTTATTGATGCCTCAAGGCGGCGTTGAGCAAGCTCCCACGCACAAACGCAGAGTTACACACACAAACGCAATTTCGCACAAACGCAAATTTACACAAGCAAATCCATACAAACGCGGATTTTTCCCTGTTGCGAAACCCCAACACAAGAACTTCATCCAAAACTTATTCGCCAGGCCGTTTCTTCCATCTTCATCCGTATACCAACTTGCTTTGATCGCCCCTTTTCTGGCCCGCTTGAGAATTTATCTACTCGAGGATGTCCGCCAACGAAAAGCCAAAAGGTCTATCATTCCGACCGAAAAACATACGCACGCCTAAGGACGTTCGGGACCAACGAGCTCTTGAGGCACAGGAGCGTGAAGAGGAAGACTACTGGTGGAAGTACCACGGAATTGCACCCAAAGACCAAGATCGAACGCGCCATAATTTAAGTACGCGGCCTAGCTTCTCACATATCTCGACCCAGCGAGCTCTCAAACGCCGCCAAAGGTACCAGAAACTGCTTCAGCGACGAGTTCAGCAAGAACGTCGGCAGCAAGATCAGCAACTTGAGCTGCCTTCATTTTGTCAGCAGCCAAATCAGCAACGCGATCAACAAAAAGATCAGCAGCAGGATGAACAATACGATCAACAAAAAGATCAACAGCAAAGCCAGCAATTCAAGCTGCCTTCATTTTGTCAGCAGCCACAGCCAGATGGTGCCTTGCAGCCGCCATACTTTGAGTATCGCTGCCCTGGGAAACGAGAGTTCAATGAGCAAGTCCACGTGAGTTTATGCAATTAGGTTCTCTCGGTATATACTGACGGATTCACAGCAATCCTTCTGCCAGGCTCAGCGCCTAACTGTCCCGGTTTTCAAGGATATAATCATATCACTCCTTGGCAAAATGGCAAATGATGAGTTTGAGGAGCTGAAGTCGATAAACTTTCCGAAAATAATTAGCGAATGGGGCTCCCTCGATGAAATTGCAGAGATTGCAATAGCCCAGATTCTCCCTCAGTTTCTAGAGTTACAGGGAAAACCGCTAACAGCCGAAATGTCAGTCAAATATCACAGTTCTAAAAGTCAATTCAAGTATTACTTCAGATACTAACTTTTTTCTTCCTTATTTAGTATTCGCGAGATACATCAAAAGCAATTCGAGGACCCTAGTATCTGGACAGAGACAGATATAGGTGGATATGTTCTTATCGGGCTAGACGATCGGGATGAACGTTATATACGATACTATGTTGGACAGTCGTTCAAGTTATCCACCCGAGTACGTATTCAACATGCAGAGGCAATATGGAATAGCGATACCAGAAGACTCTGCTACTACGTACTTTCCAAGGGAAAAGGCCACCGATCAGCATCCTTTGTCCGACTGTGGTCAACTGACTATTCAACTGTCGAAACTCTCCCCGATGACCAGATTGAACTTTTACAAAATATTCTTGAAATGGTATTCTGCCTGACTTTTGAGTCATTATCTGCTTCAGTCCTAGAAGCTTTTTTTGGGCTGAATCCTAGAGGATACTCAAATTTAGGCCTCAATATATTGCCGCCTTTATTCCAAGGGATGTCAGTATCACAAGGTATTAGATTCAAGTACCTTGAGGCCTGTACAGTATCTCCCGATCATGATATCGCCTCCTTTTATATGTTTCGTAGGAAGCAGAAGAGCATCCACAGAAACCGGCGACGCCACATATCCAGGCTATGGAAGGCGGACTATCGACAAGCTATCGCCGAATTAGCTGAAAACAATGGGCTAGATCCTCGAGGGCAAGTTGCTGCATCGCTGGGGGGGCCTAAGGCTGAGGCTACACTTTTTCCACTCAGTCACTTTATTTTTCCTGAGACAACGACATTCAGTCTCACTAAAGAGGAAGAGGAAAGTAATTTCTCTAGAGCTGAGAAGTTACTTAACCGCCCACTTAAGAAGCCAACTGGAAGTACTCAAGCTATAATTGCTATTATTCATAGCCCAGAAGCAGCCGTTTTAACAGCTGGTGGCTTTGAGAATAATAGCAAACTGGAGAACCTGAACTTAACAGAACAAAACTGTCGACTATGGTCCAGTTGTTTTTCTTCAAACCCAAATGAAGAATCCTCAAGCATTATTCCTGGCTCGGAACCTGATCAGTGTATTCAGGGATTAAACCGGCATGCTATAATGCGCAGTGGGATCCGAGTAATAGTCCTTTGTGGCCACACAGCAACTCAGGATATACAACGGGCATTCTCAGGCTATGAAAAGAACAGTATGGCCTTTAAAGGTCCGTTTAGCCTTGAGCTAAATAGTTTTTCCCATGATATATGGTTTATTACCCAAGACAAAAAGATTCAACGGGTATTCTTAACATGCCCTAACCCAGGCAAGTTATCTCATCTTCGAGATTATTCCGAAATCAGAAAATTAACTGATGTCTTCGGTATTGTTGCAACATTAACAGCACAAGATATCTACCATAACTTCTGGGTTAGTAAATCTTCAACAGCCTTCATTATTTCTCATCGCATACTTCTAGAAGGTAAATATGAGGATCCATGGACTCCCAGCACACTGCCGACACCAGTTGCTGACTGGCTCTACCATATCGGCTTCCAAACCCAAGATGACCTTTCAAGTTTGATGGAAGCTGCTGGTGGAAACCTAGAGGATGGAGTACAATTAGTACGAGTTGCCCTATCCCAAGAGGTACCCCGCAGGCGATACCCCCAGAATAAGCCCAATCGAGGATCACTTGGTCCAAAGTTTCCGGAGTCTTATCCAAAAGTTAAACAGTTACTCGAGAATCTTCGAGAGAAACGATCGCTATTCTGGAAAAGATTCAAGGAGTTGAAAGCTAGTGCTTTTAATGATGAGCGCAGGTCTGAAGGGACCTCGAATAAAACCTGTTCCCTCACAAATGATGAGGAAGATGACGAAAAGATCTCAAAGCTAGCCCATTACCTCCCAAATGGTGATGGTACTGAGACGGAGGAAACTATTACTCTGGGCGAGAAAATGAAGGAACTCATCCTGGAGGATGATGACCAAGACAGCGATCTCGACAGTGAGGATGATGACCAAGGCAACGATTCTGACAGTGAGGATGAGCTTGAGCTTGAGCCTCAACCTCAGGCTAGAAGGATAATACGAACGCGTACGCATAACAGGCCTAGGGATGATGGTTGTAAAGGCCCCTCTCGAAAGAAACTCCAAGATTTCTTGACAGAAGACGGTGTGATCTGTCACGCCAGTTTCAGTGGACACAGAAGTCTTAGAATAAAGCTCTTCGACTTTCATCAACACGCGATCACTTGTTCTGTTACTCTGCCTCCTGAAGTTAGGCTTCTTGAAGAATGGAAGGTTGCCGCCAAGTTCGATTTGGCTGAGCCGGGCCACTTACATGACAGTTGCGTACTTGCCAATCAGGCAAGTATGCTAAGGTCAGAAGACCCCTGTATTCGCCTAGCAATCAAATGTCGAATATTAGGGGCTGGTAGGAAGATATTTCGAGACTGGTTTACTCTACCTCCACTGATCAGGACGGGGGATCGCGATTTAGCAACAAGACGCATATTCAGGTATAATACTTTAGTGGACTTGCTGGAGGGAAAGACTCCCTTGGATTTGGTAGGGATTGAACGGCGGTCGTTGATAGGCTGGAAGACGGGAGAAGAAAATTGAGGCAAGGCCCATAAGGGGTTACGGGAGCCAAGTCATCCGTATAACTCTTACCAGTCAATACCTACAAAGCATTCCAAAGCGCAAGCGAAGCTGCGTAGGGGAGTCAGCGTGAATAGGGTCTAACTTACCTGCTCAAAACGGCCTGAGGCTACGGCTGTTGATTGCATTAACGAGGGCCGGGGTGGGTATGATCGAGGAGGGGTTTGACTTACCTGCTCAAGGCTGCAGTTATTGATCCTATTCGCGAGAGCCAGCCTGGGTAGAATCTAACCTGCGAGGCCGCTCGAGGCTGCAGATATCAATCGCATTCAGCAGCATCGCGGCGGATGGGATCTGACTTACCTACTCGAGGTAGTTTGGAGCTGCAGTTGTTGATCGCATTTATCCAGATCACGGTGGATAAGATCAAAATTACCTGCTCGGAGCTGCAGTTGTTGATAACAACATACGCGCGTGCATAGGTAGCCAGCGATGCAACTACGAAGTCACGACGTCACTCAGACCAATACATAGGCAGCCGGTATTTCATAATTGACCAATTACCAGTCAATATCGCGAATCATGCGATGCTTTAACGTCACATTATAGAAACGAATCTAGAAGCTGCACTCCGGCTACTGCCTTTACACATCATCAAGCTTCACTTGATTAAACTTATGTCTGGCTGTGATATCCCTTGTAGATTGACGCCCTGTCCATGCATTTACATCTCAACAGGCCTACCAGCGGTGACAAATGTCAACGTTGGACTTCCTGTGCCAGACCAGGTCCAGGAACCACCCCCTCCCCGTATTGTCAATGCAATGTCAACAGTCTTCCCGATTAGCTCAATTAACAGATCGTGGGCGTTTATACATTATATATAGAAAGAAGCGCAAAGGTTCCCTAACCATTACCCGGTTGGTGCAATTAGTTCGCACAAGGCTGTTTGTCTTGGGGCTGCCGCCGATGGGCCAACTGGTAGGTGATATCTACGCTAACGGCTCCCGTTTTTACAACTTCATATAAGGTTATCACCCGGTTGGCGCAATTGGTTAGCGCACAAGACTTTTATTTGTAATCATCTTGGGGCTGGGAGTTCGAATCTCCCACCGGGTGTTTTTTTTTTTTCTTTGCTTGCAATTTGTATCAATTTCTTATGGCAAACATGCTATTAGCAAGCCTGGTTCGGCTAATTGCAGCCCATGGGCACAATCTCATTTGCGAATGTGTGCAGCACTACCCCACACACACCTCTTTGATAGCGCGGCAAGTATGTGAAATAAAAAAGAACATGGCACACCAAAGCTCTTTACGCGCAAGACGGGGCACAAAAGAGAATAATATAGAAATTATTCTTGTGATATTTAGCTAGGTATTGCACCAATAACTGGGTTAATAGTTTTGATATTGTGCCAAAATTCAACGCTGGGGTGTCTAGGCGTGCCATATACAATCCCAGTCGCTTGTCTGGACAGCAGCAAGCATATACATATACACTGCCCCTGCAATACACCATGTCGACAGCGACCCAATGGCACGGCAGCTATTTGCATTTATCTAGTAGGCCAGCCGGTTTTGCATTGATGGTGCGCTCAGCTGTGGATGTGATACTACACGATTTAGATGCTCCCGATCCTTTGTAAAGATCTCACCCCTCCCTCACCTCGCGTGCATCATCAAAGTCGGACGAGGGAAGGGGGCCGCGTAAACCTCCCCCGCTACTTCGATGCATCTCGGCTTTGGTCGTTGGGCCCAGTCGGATGAACAAAAGCTAATCGCTGGGAAGTGAGGCCGCCAGCGCATCTATCCCACTCGGCTCTGCCCTATCGCGATGGCCTCGGCTAAGGCTCACAAGTCGAGATTTGGTGACGGCATAGTGCCAACGGATCATTTCACATGGAACCATTCCTAGGCGACTTTCTATTCCAAGTCCAGTATGGAGAAATAGACGTTCCTTTAGCTGTGTCTGCGCTTGTGCGGACTCGGATCCATTCACGTTCGAAAGGAAGCAAGAAAGATGGTCTCGTCAGCGAATGGAGGCCGTCCCTGCTGAACATCCATCACCTCGAACTGCCGTGAGAGTATTGTTCACAAGCGTGGTCCTGCTTTCGTCGATTCCATCCAGCTGTGAGAGTCTGGGGATGCAAGGATGGGACTGCTCAATGTCAGTACAGATGTCACCGCTGCCGAAACTCTTGCGCTCCAGCCATAACCCCCCGAGGCGGCCTGCTTGTCTGGACGAAGGGGCTTGTTCGACAGAGGTGGAAGCAAACTCTCTCAGATGAACCTCGATGCTGAGGCTACAGTCGACCGCTTTCTGGAGTTTCTTAGGGTGCTTTCATTTACCGCCCATCACGATGAGAGCTTCTCAGCTTTGGTCATTTTTCCGCCACATGATATATATAAGCCCATGGCTTCTTTTACTATTACGAAATTTGTATAGCTGAGTAAACTCTGATAACATCTTTCTCAGCTGTGGAAATGGACGCGCCTGCTTGATTACGCCGTATGTCTTGCTAAGAACATGGACGAAGATGCCAAGTTTGGGGGCATTCCCATGGTATGGAGCTACGGGAAGATTTCAATGCTCATTTGTTGAGTATGACTGGTCTTTTACCCTTCCCACCTTGCTAACAAAACTCAAAGCTCCGTTGAGCATCGCGTGGACTTGACCGGGAGCTGTATTCCCGAGGATTCATCAGAAAGGGGACGATGTGCACGACAAGCTCTTTTGCTAATACCTTGATGAAAAAAAAACCTGTCCCATATCTCTCCCATCACGCCTAGAGTAATTCTCAAAACCTCATTTCCTCGCTCGCCTGTTTTGTTCAAATCATCGCTTTGTCACACTTCAGACAATGCATTTTCATCCACAACAACTCACAGCATATATCCCCCTTAGCGTCTCCTGACAGATTACCCTCTAATCCCCAATGACTTGCACCGTCTTCTTCTAATTTCTAGTAAGGATACTAAATCTTGCGTCTATACTCTATCATCATCTATCCCACCATGCGTGATGCATGAAGATTTATGCCGCCAGTGGGAAATGGCTTTCGAGAAGGCTGGGTGAGGCCACAAAACTGAACCCACCAAAGGGGTCGTCATTGGAAGGACTTAGAAGGCTCGGGTACTTGGATGTTACCACAGGGCTCAGGCACAAGTCGGTGAACTCGGGTGAAAAGTTCTCTGCAAGCTCTGGGTCGGTGATCATGGGCTGAATTGGAGGGGTAAGTTCGCGGGCCTCCAATTTCTTCCAGTCAATCTTGCGAAAGAACCTGTGCTTCTTTAAAGTCTGAAGATCCTTGAGTCCTCCAGCTCCGAGTCTCTTATTGGGGTCCTTGCGAAGGAGTCGGGTAAGCAAGTCCTTTGCATCGGGGCTAAGGAAGTAAGGAAGCGCAAGTTTCTGCTTGACAATGTTTTCCTGAATCTTCGCGTGGTTGCCGCCCCGGAAAGGAGGGTTTCCGGTCATAAGGTCGTACCCAAGCGCTCCAAAGGACCACCAGTCCACTGCCTTGCCATATTTCTTGCCCTGAATCACTTCGGGGGCCATATACTCCACTGTGCCGAGGATGGAGCTGCAGGATTCGGTTGGCTCAGCCGATACTTTGGACAAACCAAAGTCCGTCAGAAGCAAGTGGCCGTCTGCGTCCAAGAGGCAGTTCTCAGGCTTCAAATCTCTATACACAACACCGAGGTCATTGTGGAGGTGGGAGATGGCGAGAAGCATCTCAGCCATGTAGAAAGCAGCGTCGTTCTCCGAAAACATCTTCTCCGTATTCAGGTGAGTGAACAGTTCTCCGCCCTGGCCATACTCTAGGATCAAATACAGCTTCTCGTGGTCTTGAAATGCGTAGAACAACTTCACAACAAAGGGGTGCCTATTGACAGACTCGAGGATCTGTCGCTCTGTTTTGGTTTGCTCGATCAGCTTCTTATGGACCATAAGAGATGCCTTCTTGAATTGCTTTTGAGCATAGAGCTTGCCGGTAGCGCGTTGCTTGACCAAGAGCACAGTGCCGTAAGTGCCCTTGCCCAGACAACGGAGAGGCTTAAAGTCTTCAGTCGTCATTTTTCTCTTTGGGTTCAGGCCTCCCTCAATGATGTCCATGATGCCTCCTCTGTCGCCAACACTGGCGCTAACAAAGTCATTCTCGAGGCAAACTTCGTAGATTGTAGATGCGTTGTCCGAGTCTGTGCTTCCCGCATCACTGCGAGCGCCGTCGCGGCTCACGGAACGGCTTTGAATACCAAATGCGCCCTGAAGGCTTCCAGTGCGGTACATGGAACTGGTCGGGATACCATCCAGACTCAAAGGCTCAAGCTGCATCCGCAACTTGGCTATTCCCGACACAACAGGAGACGAGGATCCACGGAGGGTCGGGCTACAGTTGGCACTGACGACATCGGTAATGCGAGAACGGCCACGGCGGGCCTTGAGGCGTGGAGTGTCGAGGCCGCAGTCGGAATCCTCATCGCCGGAGGCTGCTGGGGTCGTTTGGAAACCACGAACAGTGGTACGCGCTGCCGGCACGGGGCTTTTCATTTTGAATAGAGGACGAAGAAAAATACGCTCACTCTTGAAGAAATTCTAACCAACAGAGGGATATGTCCTCAGTCCCCTGCCAGCGACGTCGTCTGTCTTCAAGGTGAGCCCCGCCGTCGCTCAGGGTCAGCGCGCACCCGTGATTCGCAGTGCAACTGGATTTCGATGTGGCTCGCAATACGCATCTGGTAGCGGAAGAACGAAGTACGGGCGCTGGAGGGCTTTTGTATATGCATTGGCAACGTTGTCGTATCGGAGTTCTGGAGTGCAGCTTGTGATGGGAGTTGGAATCACCAAATGGTGTAGAAAGAAAGGGAAAAGAGAAAGCCGGGGAAGAAAGCGATCGTGTTACATTTAACGAATACCTGATTATGCCTGCCCACTAACAACCTGCCTAAGCACCAGCCCGCGAGGGAAAAAAAAACCTTGCCGCACATGCCTAAATTAGTTGGGTGAGGTCACCCACCACAATGCGGCAGGGGGCAAGTAACCTGTCATTAATTACTGACCAGGCAAGTAGGTACTCGAAACAGCACTGGCATGGAGGTAATGCGCTACTAAACTAGGCACTTAGGCTATCTTGGGCGTGTATTATTAGTATGCGGGAGGATGTGGCCGTCTCACCCTCACACAGCCGCCTGACGGGCACTGGCCACTGACTCAATAATGTACGTGCAGCTGAGATTACGTTGGTGCCCAGGAGTAATTTATTTCATTCCAATAGGATGCCGTTGTTCCTGTTCGTATTTCAGGACACAGTCACATGCTAATCACACACAAACTTTGCATAGAGAGAAAGGCGCCAAAGAGAAAAAACTCAATAAACGACTGGCCTAAAAGGCGCGTGCCGGAACCAATAAAGCGAACAAGGCCGTATCGGTAAAGCAGAGGCGCTAACACTTGAAGCTAATGAGAGGGCAAGGAGACTGCATGTTGCTTTCAATATGCACGCCCGAACCCCAGACGGGGCTCTGACCTTAGGTAATCTGATACCCACATGGGCTCTGTCAATGTGCTCGATGTCCAATCAAGTCTTCAAGCAAGTATACGAAATCGTTACTTATCAAAGGGGCCAAGCTGCTTGTAAAGCTGCGTATCTTTATGTACCTGTGAAATACACTTTGCTCGCCCCAACCACGCTGGTGCACGGACATCACATGCGCGCATCGTCGGATTCACTTTTCTCACGAGGATCGCGCTGCTAGCTACCAACTGCCTATCTGGTCTCGTGATACCAACGAAAGGGCACGATATCCGGTAGCTGTGCCGATCTGGCCTGCTTTGAAACTCTTGGTGCCAGTGCGCAGTGTCCCCGATCCAACTTTCAAGATGATTCATCCATCACGACAAGCATACGTCGAGGAAGCCCAGTCGCCAAAGGGCGTGGCATTGGAAGACCTTCCCGATGATCATGACTACGACATGCCGACCGCCGGCGCCGGCGCCCCTTCAGAAAAGGCTTCGGCAATCCTGGATCAGTTCAGGCGAAAGCGCGCTGCCGCAGAGCTGAACGTCCCGACCAACGATGACCGCGTTCGCGCAGTCCTGAGATCCATGGGCGAGCCCATAA